ATGGTCTGACAGCTATTTGCCTCGCGGTTCAACGATCTTTCGAAAAATAAGTCAACTATCTCCTCGAGTTGTACCAATGTTCAGAAAAAGATAACTCCTGTGATATAGAACTAGAATATAGCCTTCGTTCGAACAACGCAACAATATTGGATAAAATTTATCAAAAGCATAAGAGCTGCCGTAAACAGGTAAATAAAAACGAAACCCATTAATGATGTCGATGTTTTCAAAAACGAAAGCAATCGTTATTGCATGAGAATTGTGCTCGAAAATCAGTTCTAAAGAAAAAGTTTGTTTTTACTATGGGCAGAGTAAGCCTCACTTTTTACATAGGTTTTCGCTATTATCAGGACAAAGTAGACTGTGACTCGGATGAAAATAGAGAGTCTGAAGTCGCTTCTGTTGTTGGATGTAGACGATTTTCTGCCTCTAGAATTCTAGCCGTCGGTTGGACGAAGAAATGGTACCGCTTTCTAAAGTTCATTTTTGACCTCGAACTTGATCAGAAAAAATGTCTTTTGGCATTAGATACTAGAGAATATTATCTACATGTCATTTACGTATGGTTCATTAGGTGGTGGCATAATATTCTTTCGCAGTAATAAACACGTTGCAAAGCCATAGAAAGATCAAAAAGGGAGAGAAAATAAACAGCACAAAACCGAGGACCAAGTGCACGAATATGTCTATCGAAACATGAATGAACTCGGCAGTAACAATATAAATGCAAAGAGATCTCTGTTAGATAAGCTCTCTAACAACCTCGAAAAGATTGCTATAAATAGAGCTTTTTAAGTCTTATACCTAGACAACTACCCAAAATAAATTGATCAAGTTGGTATATTATTAGAGGCAGAACAGTAGTATTGTCATTCCTTTCGATTGTACTAGTTCAATCCTAACTGTGAACTAACTTGATCGATCAAAGATGGATTGATACTTCAACTTAACAATTAGAAAGCTCTATTGATTTTAGAATTTTCGAAGTTGATAGTTAAAGCAAAGATCGATCTGCAATTGATTACTTTTCAAAGTCTCAGCGCTATTTTCTCGTTAAGTATCATACCAAAAAATAAAAACAATATTGTATACTATCAAGTCAAAAACCTTATTAAAAGTTTTGACCTTTATGATAATCATGACCATCTCGATAGATAACCGTTCTTGTATTAGTAGTCCGCGTCTTTGTAACTCGTCAAGAGCCTCTGGGAGAGTATATATTTAACAAGAGTTTGACCAAGTGGTTAATTGGTTGTTCTAATTCTGTTGTTTTATTTTTTATGTCGATTGGTATGTAAATATGATAGCTTATCAACGTAGTATTTTCTTCGCCAAACATGTACAGAAGAAAATCATATTTTCAATGTAAAATCTTAAACAACAGTCACTAGAATGTCGATTTAAAAAACGTTCAGTGAATATTTAATGTATATTCTGGATGAGAGATATTTGAGTGGGACAAACCTAGGAAATTTGAACGAGTTTTTTCTACTCACAGTATCCTGTTGAAAAGAATTTGATTCAAATCAGATTCATAAATTGCAATAGTGCTCATCGGTGCGAAGTTACTTTAAACCCTTTCACCTAAGATTTTGGTCAAGATTTCGTCAAGACACAACTTATTAGCCATTTAGCTCATACAGCAATGATGATAATAAATACGATTTCAGCTTCTCATAAATTAAAGTTTATAATACAAATATTAACTCTGTTTTTGATTGCGCCTCGTCTTACCGGTGTTAACTATCATTCAGAAGAACTGAGACTGAGCTTCAAGAGTAAATGAGCAGTGCTTCAGGAATGAGAGCTCTTCCACTCAGTTGTGACTAATATCACACTACAGAACGTTTCAAGATTGATAAAATCCCAGTTTCGATGCTCTCCTATATGCCCATTAATGGGCAATATTTCGGAGATGAATGATGATAAGAAATGCTGCCTTTTCCTAAACGATAGCTAGTGAAGGTTTCTACTGAAAGTGCTTTTGAAGATTTGGAATTCGATGCGTCGTTCAGCTTTGATAAGCTATCTACAAATATTTACTCCAGTGATCAATGGCTGGGACTGGACGTAAAAGCTTAAAGCTATGCATTTTTATAGTCAATATTTCGCGAGCAAAGTATTTTGCTCCAAGAAAATACCTAAAGTTGATGGCTATCAGATAACTGTATGTGTTCAAGATTATTCACGTAAAAGAACACACTCATAATGGAGAAAAAGAAGCCATTTAGTGCATCCTAACGTTTTATCTAGAGGGGTATCCAAGGGGCGGCGTTCCCTGGTTAACCGAGTTTGAATAATCGCTTCACTTAGTACATCGACAATTCCTTCGAGACCCTACCGAGCTTTTGAATGACTCTTCTAGAAGAAAAAGCTTGCATAAAACATTGCGAAAGATATGTGTTTTAATTTCATACCTTTGAAATATTTTCAACCTTAGAAAAAGAAAAATTGACTCTAATTCTGGGGTTGGTGGAAAACGTCAAAAGGGAAAATATCCAAAGGGAAAACGCAGAAAGGGAAAACGTCGAAAGGAAAAAGGTCGAAAAAGAAAATGATCCGATAGAAAAATGTTGAAAGTGATAAAATTATTTTTGTTGCTAGGTTCTTTTTTCCGATTAACAAGGAAAAACCGGACAATAGTTCTTTTGCACTGATTTCTTTCTTGAGGATCTCCAATGAAGAAAAATGATACTAAAATTGTGTGTACTTTTTCAATATTAATATAGCATCATGCCGATCATCACATACAGTCACAGTAATTGAGAATATGTGCGGGATCAAATTGATAAAGTATCAAATTTTTTGGTAGTGACATCTTTTAGATCTTTCGACGTTTTCCACCAAGATCCTAATTCTTTTCAATTCATATCCATGCAAAGTCCAAAATAATTGATGTAATTTTAAGATCATTATGTATGACTTGTAGGAAACAAACACATACAGATATTTGCTGCATCTTGCCGCCAAATTCAACAAGAATCGAAAAATTTTTGTTGGAGCCAACTCTGATGAGTCAGCAATGGACAATGAGCAATGGGATAATGTTTCGCACAAAATAAGCACCACGTATTGCCAAAACGCCTGGGATCAGACAAGCATTGAAGGTTACACGCCCGTGCACATCGCAGCCCATTATGGTAACAATGCATTTATCCGATATGTAATTGAAAACGTCTACAATGGCAAGGACCATGTACTTAAACCAACGCAAAATACCAGAAAAATGAATGTATTACACATTTGTGTCGAACAGAGTGGACCGTCATCGTCGAAGAACCAAAACGATGAAAACAAGTACGTACTGAAGTACGAATTAGTTTTTCATCTTTATATAAACTAAAATATCAATTTTAGGAATAAAAGGTACTTGGAAATTTGTAAAGCTCTACTTTTGGACTACCCATCGAAAAAATTACTGGACGATGACAATGTAAAGCAGTTGCTTCAAGCATGTGACAATGAAAAAAATACGCCACTTCATCTTGCTGTCAAGGCGAATAATACAGAAATTTTCAAATGTTTACTAGAAAGTTGCAGAAATATGAAGAATACTAATCCAGACGAAGAGAAAAAAAAGGCTACGTATGGAATAACCGAACCACGTAATCGAAGCGGACGAACACCATTACTTGAATGTGCAAAACATAATTGTACATCATTTATCGAAGAAATATTGTCAACAAAGGATAATTCGAGAAAATGGAAAACAGTGCTTGATCATCAACTTAGTGATCAAGATCGAATGACATGCTTGCATTTGGCATGTAGTCAAGGTAAACACGAGGCTTATCCATAGAAAACCAACCATAAAGTCTTTGAAAAAAATCTCAATAAACGTTGAATAAACCTACAATGAGAAGCTTATTTTAACTCATGCAAAAACTTTACCTTTGATTTGCGAAGTACTCATACAATACTGTTATACCGACATCTTACGAGTTCATATAGAGATCAGTCAGGAGTCCAAAAAATAGGGTCTCTAGGTGGATAGAATAATGATCGAAAATGAACGATTTAAATAGCTTTAAGGCAATGTGAACGCGTGCCACAACTTTATTGCTAAGAAGTTTGGGCGAAAATTCTGTCTAAAGAAGACGAACCGTTGTCTGCCAATTATCATTGATCCCATTTCGTGGATACAGATACATTCTATATCGCTAACTGTAAACTGAAAGTGATAGAGATATGTAGATTTCTTTTCTTGCACAAGATTTTGTCGTGAATAGGTGTGCCTTTATGTTCGCGATAATGTATCAAGTTCGTGAGCAGTCTGAATCTTCGATGTTATCATGGATAGAAATGAGAAAGTTTTTCTTATAGAATGATCTCCCAAACGTGCACTACTAATAAAGTTCCTTTTTTCTAATTTGAATATAGGCAATTTCGATACTGTGACATACCTTGTTACAAAACATCAGATTTCAGTCAATATTTTTGGCGATAAGCGACAAACACCACTCTATTGTGCTTGTGAAGGAGGCTTTTTAGAAGTTGTGATCTATCTACTTGATTATACCGATGCTGATCCAACAATAAGAACAGCCAAAGGCTACAATTGTCTTGATATTGCCATTGCAAAACATTATCCTAACATTGTCAAACGTTTATTGGAATATTCTGAATGGCGTACTCTAATGGAAAGTGCACAATATGAAGGCAGCGATGTACCGATTACACCTATGCGACGATTGATCATATCCATGCCGGATATTGCCTATGAACTCATTGACAAACGTTTTACAACGAGTATCGGTGATGAAGGTCAACCCAAGCATTTGATTAAGTATGATTACACATTTATTGATGATCATTACAATATTTGTGATTGGCATCCAGGTAAATATGCCTCAATTGTAAACTTGTTTGTTCTCTCATGTTGAAAGTGAACGCATTAAGGCGAACTACTTATAATCCAAAGAGTATTAAATACAATCATTTCAGCATTAAAATGACAGACGAAAGAACGACGCAATCAGGTCACTCATAGTATTCAATATGTTCATTAAATCTTTCGACGCCTTTGTTATAATTTGAAGGAATTGATCTTTGCCCTATTTGATTACACATAATTTTCTGATCATATTTTATTCAAAATTGAAGAAAACGATCAGCACAGGCAAATTAGGTGAATAGCAGATGGAATTTCTCGAGGTCGTTTGCCTTAAGAGAGAAAGTTCCATATGATTAGAATTTTTTGAGTCCGTCTTTAGCTCTTCGGAGGTTACTGGTAACCAGAACAAGTTTCTAACGCTCCGTGCTGTGAGATTCAGTCGAGATCAAGGTTTTAGTTAACTTTTCTTCTAGGAATTCCACTATTTAACAAAAATATCTTATTTTCAAAGTACAATCCGAAACTGTCACATTAGGATCTCTCGTAAACTAGCTAATACAAAAAAGCTTTAAGAAGCTTTGAAATGAGCTTTTTTGAGATATTAACTTTTAAAAGTAGAGGTGCTATTTAGGGGTATGTCACAGAAAATATACCGTTTTGAAAAGTTCATAACTCGAGAAAAATAAGTTCAAAACTTTTGCAAGTGGTTCTTTAATAAGTTAGTCTACTAGAGATCTCAATACGGAGAAAGTTTCAAATTAAAATTTGAAAACGAATTTTGTTACCAAATCATGGAATTTGTATAGCAAACATTGGCTAAAATCTTGGTATCTCAGGCAAATCTTAATAGCAACCAAGAGTCTTGTGAGGTTGTTCTAGGTATCAATACCCTACGAAGAAGCCAACTATAGGCTCGAAAGCTTCTAATTATCTGGGATCTTACCATTTTAGTCTCTTACGAGGGAACCTCTCGAGGTTATAAATCGCTTTTTGATCGAAATTGAGTGGGATATAGGTTATCGACCATGCTGATTCCGAATATGGTTATGGGAGTTCCCCATGGTCGTTCGAAGATCCGCTTTTCTGGAAAACCAGTTTTTCAGAAACTCTAAATAATAGTCAAAAACCTTCTTAATGAGGTAGAATTGTAGCCCGGAATTTTCTGATCAAATGAG